CTACTACTACCACCATCACTATTACCACTACTACTATTAGTATCACTACAACCACCGCCACCACCACCATAACCACTACTACCACCACCATTGCTACCACCACTACCACTGTCACCACCATAACCACCATCACCACTACCATTCCTGTTGATTGATTAGAACATCTGTTGCTCATTTTATTTGTTTTTTCGAGTCCTCGTTAAGTTATTAATGTCTTAAATGGATGATTCATAAAATTTATGGCTTCAAGTGATGAAAAAAAGAATTGTCAATTAAGACGCAGTATATTTATGAGAGAGAGAGAGAGAAAGAGAGAGAGAGAGAGAGAGAGAGAGAGAGAGAAGAGAGAGAGAGAGAGAGAGATCCCAGGGGATAAATCACCACCATCAACAGGCCGGCACTAATTAAGGCCGGGGTTGGGTCTCGATTGGACCACCCACAAACGTTACAATGTGCCCTTCGACACCATACCCTCCGAGTTACACCATACCCTCCTAGTTACACCATACCCTCAGAATTACACCATGCCCTCAGAATTACACCATGCCCTCAGAGTTACACCATACCTTCAGATATCCTTATTGTTATTTACGTGAGGAAGGTCATTAACCCTAGATAATAACCTAACACAGTCAAGCAGAATGGTTTATTTAGATTAGGGGTCCTTTCAGGGATGCTACTGACAACAGGTGAATTTCACCCGGGTACCTACGTACTGCTAGGTGAACAGGGGCCATCAGTTGTAAGGAGACGTACCCTTATGCGTTGCCCACCCCAGTATGTGACCCACAACAGTGGACTCACACCTTAGTCACTTACGGGGGTCACCGCCCCCGCGGCTCGGTCCCAGACCAGGTCTCTTGGTTGCTGGCCTGATCGATCAAGTTGTTAGTGCCCACCGCCTGCTGTTCTGCGTTTGTACAACTTGGTTGATCAGGAACTGTTTCGAGGAATCTATCGAGTTTCCTCTTGAAGACAGTTATGGGTTTGTTGGTAATCCCTCTTATATGTGGTGGACATTGAAGAGTCGCGGTCCCTTCAGAGGCGCCTGAGTTTCCCTGTCTCCTATTGTTTATTTTTCTCCTGTAATCTACCTTGTCCATAATGACTATCGTATTATAGAGACTGGAACTGACGTGCCCCTGAACACTTACTGAGTTCACTCTCCTGGCATTTAATGATAGGTAGGTATCTACTACATGGGTATCTTTTTAGTGCTAGGAGGGTAGGTGCAAGGAGTTTTATACATATGTCTTGTACCACCCGGGAATCGCACCAGCGACCTCACAGTTGTGAGCCGAACATTACCATTGTGCTACTTTTTTAAAATACCAACGACTTGTTAGCACATGAAACCTTGTTAAATGTTTTGCATTCTGACAGGACTACTTGTGTTTTCTGGCTCGTGAAGTTCTAAGATTATAGGTAATTCTTACTAATTTCTACATATATTCAGTATACACACACTTATTTATATTTCCCTGTATGAAGACTAAGAAACGTGTATTACTGGGTATCTTTATTACTGAAACGTTTTTCCTCACAACAATGTTGTTCAGTCGATTACAGGCGGATATGAAACTGGAGATAGTAGACAACTTGTCTGTGTTGTCTACCATCACCAATGATATATTTCTTGCCTTTGTTGTCTATCATCAGCAATGTTATATTACTTGCCTGTGTGTTTCTCAGTAGTCTATATTGCTATAATAGTTTCTACTTATTTAAGAGACCTGTTCTGAGAACGATCCCCGTGAGCCATAATCCGCGGAACTATTAAAATATATATAACTTGTACAAGGCTTGGAATTGTTGGAGAGAGAGAGAGAGGTGTGTTACTGTTGGTGGCCCTTTCTCTTCATTACCGTGGTTAGCGACGACGCAAAATGCGGTGAGGTTGTGGTTAATGTTGAACAGGCAGCAGCAGCAGCTACGTTGATGCCGGCAGGTGTTCTCGCACGGTTTTTGTGTCCGTGTGATATGTTGGAGGAAGATTGAAGTGCCAAGGTTGAGAGTTTGAGTTAGAATTAAAGTGTATGTTTGGTTGTGACGTACCTTAGCTTATTATGAATAGTGTGTGTGTGTGTGTGTGTGTGTGTGTGTGTCAAAGGCACTTGTCGATAAGACACTTGGCCTGTTCAGTGTTTGTATGTGTGTGTGTACACTTTCATCTATTTGTGATTACTTATAATTACATAAGCAGATCAGTGCTCTCGTTGTACAGTTTTCACTGTTCACAGTGAATGCAACCTTCAACATTCGACTAACATCCGAGTACCTATTTACTGCTAGGTAAACAGGAGCAACAAGTGTATTAAACTTGTATATACGTCTTGCTCTGTTTTAAAGTGTTATTTAATCTTGTCAAAACTTCTTGCAACATCCAGGATATTTATTAATTGTTTCGCCCAGGACGGAGCGAAATATCGTCTAAAATGTCTTTTCCAAATCATGGGTTATCTGTGAATTGTTCCAACCACGGTATTGTTTATTTTTCTGACGACTTTCACCCGTTATCAGTATTCTGAATTTAAGAACCTAAGGGTAGAGAAGCACTGCAGTAGACCTACTGGTTCATGGTAGGCAGGTCATTCCCAAATACCGACCGGTTAATGAACGCAACACACGTACAACACTTGCGTATCTTTATTGTGAAGACGTTTCGCCAACCAGTGGCGTTGTTAATTCAGACACATGTGCAACAGTTAGGTATCTTTATTCCGAAACGTTTCGCTACACAGTAAGCTTTTTGTAATTGAGTCCCTCAGGGACTGACCACTTCAAAACTACGCCTTCAAGGGAGGACTGATGACATCGTCTTAGGTTAGTTAAGGTTCGTCAGGAAACAGGGCAAGTGTGTGTTTCCTGACGCGGGTCTTAGTCAGATGATGACCCGGCGCTGGAGCTTTTGGTCATCTGACCGAGGCCTTCGGCTGGCTTCCCGGTCCACCCCTTTAAAAATTATGGTCATAGTTATAACCATTTTTGTAACTATGACATAGTCTTTACATATCTACTGCTTCTGCTCACTCTTCTGTACTCGATTGAAGAAGCCTACTGTGTAGGCGAAACGTTTCGGAATAAAGATACCTAACTGTTGCACATGTGTCTTAATTATCAACCTGTCGGTACTGTATACCATTTTAATATTCACGTTGTCAGTTCAATATGCAGTCTTTGTATTGAACTGAGGAAGAACCACGGGTTGGCGAAACGCCTGGTCATGGACCGGGCCGCGGGGGCGCTGACCCCCGGAACACCCTCCAGGTATGGTAAAGTTACGTAGATGCTGTGTATTTCTTATTCAACATTCAACAGGAAAAGAAAAAAAAATGTTTTAAATATATTCACGGGGAAGCACTAAACTCGTAGGGGGTTATACAGCTCATTTTAGGGGAGACAATCAGATCTGAGCCTAAGATCGTTAATGAAATTCCATAACCTCTTAATTCATGTGTAACCTAACGCTCTCCAAGTTATGGAGACGATAACAACAAAGCGTACTGCATATATTGACCTCTCACTGTGGCCCTCTTCAGCAGATGCCGGTGATGGGTCTCCCGTATGTCCCTGCCCATCCCCCTCCCAAGGGCGTCCCCCAACGCCCTCGCCTTCCCCCAGAGAACACTGGAAAAATGTTCTTTAAGAGGATAATTACAGGTACGAACAATTTACCTGCATTATGTTTCTTGATTATTAACTCATTTTTAATGAGACTTGAACTGATGAAGGGTTGATGCCTGACATAGGTGATATTGATGAATACTTTGCAACACAGTAAGTATCAGGGGCCCAAGACTGTTCAACTGACTCCCAGCATACATAAGGGGGATTACCAATAGACCCCCGGTTGTCTTCCAGAGGGAGGCGGACACACAGTAAAGAACAAAAAGGCACAGTACCGTGACTGGAACAATACACAAATAACTCGCACATAGGAGAGAGGAGGTTACGACGACGTTAATGGTCCAAGTCGGACCGAAACGTCGTCGTAAGCTCCTCTCTCTCTCCTATGTGCGGGTTATTTGTGTACGTAACGTCAGTACCTGATTAGCCTTACTGTGGTTCGTACTTCGGTTTGCGTGCAGCCAGCAGTAACAGTCTGGTTGATCAGGCCCTGATCCACCGCGAGGCCTGGTCATGAACAAGGTTAAATATACCTCCAGGTATACCTAACCTCCTGTTTTAATTTAATCAACCTAATTTAACCTCGCCCAAGAAAATCTGTCCTAACCTCATTAACGTAAGTCTAGAAATTTGCTTAAATTCGCACGTAATCAAACAAGGAGGACGGACTGTCTTCAGACATTAATTACTTTGTATTTCTTCATCCCAGTAGCTTATCATCTGCACCGCTTGACTACATCTATGTTATGTTGGAGATAACGTGAGAATGACAATCAGTTGGATGAGATAACGCAAGGATGATAGTGATTAGGTAAACACGAGAATGACAACTATTGAAATATGAGAATGCTGACCACTTGCTTGAAACAATATGTGTATGATAACCAGAAAGTTGATATATCGTTCGAATGATAACTAGTATGCTGGAACAACATGAGAATGATATATCTGGAATCTATCCCTTTCACAAACTTGAGCCATAACTTGCCCTAGCAAAAATGGGATCTAAACTTCCTCACAGACCTCCACCCTGCGATACACGTCAGCAATATCTGCCATCTTACTGTAGATGTCAGCAATACCTGCCATCCTGCGATACACGTCGGTAATACCTGCCATCCTGCGATACACGTCGGTAATACCTGTCATCCTGCTACACATGGCGGCAATACCTGTCATCCTGCCATACACATCAGCAGTACCTGCCATCCTGCGATGCATGTCGGCAATACCTACCATCCTACCATACACGTCGATCCTGTGATACATGGCGGCGGTGCCTGCCATCCTACCATACACGCCATCCTGCGATACATGGCGGCAATGCTTACCATCCTGTGACCAACCCTAGAAAAAGACCTGAAGGAACTGACCTTTTTAACGATCTCCTCGGTGTTCATGCTGCTGTACTGGTCAAACTGCTGCTGGGTGATGGGCGGCAGCACCGCCTTCAGGGGCTTCTGAGGGACGGGGTTGTTGGAGGAGATGGCTGGACCCGTCATGAGGGAGTTGGTGATAGAGGCCATCCGCTGGAGGGGCGAGGCGGACACGTTGAGGTCCTCCCCGGAGGTGCTCACTGCGATTGAGGTGATGGGGGTTACTAAGTTGCTGAGAGGCGTGGCCGTGCTATGACCTGAGGGTGGAAGGGGAGAAGCCTTGCCTGAAGGAGCTATGTTACACCGCTGGTGGAGTTGTCTCGGAGTCTCCCGGTGTCTACTAGCACAGGTCAGGAAGGAGGGAGGGAGGGGTAGCTAACGCCCGGGGTGCATTGCATCGCCATAGGTGCGTGGAACAGGTGTGGATAGGTGCATGGGAACAGTGTGCAAAGATGGATAAAACGGGTATTGATAGTTGAATAAAACAGTATGGAAAGAGGAGATCTGGTATGGAAAGGGGAGATCCGGTATAAATAGGTGGATAAAACCGATATGAACAGGTGGCTAGAACTGGTATGAATACACGTAGGTGCTTAGAATCGGTATGGAGAGGTCAAAATTACCGAGGATAAATGTTCAGAAACAGAAGTGAAAAAAGCAACCAGAGAGGGTGAGTGTGCAGAGATCAAGTGTGTGTGTGTGTACTCACCTAATTGTGGTTACAGGGGTCGAGACTCAGCTCCTGACCCCGTGTGTGTGTGTGTGTGTGTGTGTGTGTGTGTGTGTGTGTGTGTCCATACGTGAGTGCTCATCGAGCTGCGTTTACGGGGTTAGTCTCAGATTGTGGCCGTGTGTGTGTTTGGGGAAGGGCTTTCCCTCTAGCTCTTGGGCTTTGACTTCGCACTTAGAGTAACAAGTGTAACTTTTCTGCTCTTTTGGACTTTGTCCTCTGTCTATTTTTTAAAATGCATTTACTAAGATACGTTCCATTTCTTCTCATAATGCATTATTTTACTATCCACTATCCTCACATTGAGAGAATGTTTGTGTCTCTCATATGATCTTTCCATTTGTCTCCTTGTTCTCTTTTGTGTTTTTTCCTGTCTATTTTATAAGTATCTTGTGTTTTGATCACGTCTCAAGGACCCCAGTGGAAATAAGTCACTCTTCATTTTTTGGGTTATCCTAGGTAATTTACACTATGTATGATAGTTGTAGTTATGTGTACCTGTCTAAAAATAAAGTTAAGAGTAACTTGATTCTTCGAGCGTCAAGTGATGTGAAATTTAGACCTCATCTTAGTATCCCAGCACCTTTATTTACGGGATTAGCCCAAGGGTGAACGAGTCTCAAAAATTAGTTGTGTGTGCGTACGTGTACGTGTATATCGTGTGTGTATGTATGTATGTGTGTGTGTGTGTGTATACATTTACGTGTGTGTGAGGTGAGCATCGAAAGAAATATCACACCTACTAGTTCTCATATAAAATGACAATCCCCGCTTAAACACACACACACACACACACACACACACACACACACACACACACACACATACACACACACACACACACACACACACACACACACACTACGAGGGAGGTTGCTACACCACCGTCATAATCAAAGCAGAAATAGAGTGAGAGAGAGGAAGAAAAGAAAATAATTTGCGTGGGTGAGGTGGAGTGGTGAGCATGCGGGCGGGTTGTTGGAGGGAAGGGGGGGGGATGATGGAAGGAGGGAGGGGAGATGTGGGAGAAGGAGACGGAGAGGAGGGAAGAGAGAGGGGAGTTCAGGTCATTCAGGACCCTGGGAGGGAGGGGAGTGGAGAGTGTAAGGAAGGGGATGGAGAGAGAGAAATGGAGTGTATGGAAGGAAAAAGAGGGAGGAACGGGATGGAAGACAGGACAAGTAAAGGAATGGGTGTTAGGTAAGAAGGAAGGCGGGCTTCTTAAGAAAAAAACATGGAAGTCAGAATTGACAAACAGTGACATACTTTGAGTTGGTTAATCACATATTATTTACAAAGTTTGAATGATTATCATTAAGTTCCTGCAAACTTATAACTAATAATAAATGATTTATTTAAAAAAATGCAATGGGTGAGATGTTATAATTCATAAAGTCTTCCAGTCTATAAGGATTTACATGCAGCTATAAGATCTCGCGTCCAGTCTGTTTTACAGTCTGAGGTCTTATATACAGTCTGAGAGATTTTACAGTCTATAAGGTGTAAGTTACAGTCTATAAAACAGTTTTTACACGGCCACCTTCATTATCATAGGTATGGTGGCGACAGACTACCATAAATATGACCTTGATACACAAATACTACTATTACTATAAGTATGGTGGCGACACACGTACTACCATTACCATAAGTATGGCGACGACAAATGCACTACCATTACCACAAGTATGATGGCAACAAATGCACTACCATTACAGTAATTATGGTCACGAAACACGTACTGCCATTACCACAAGTATGGTAGCGACACACGTACTACCATTACCACAAGTATGGTAGCGACAAGCACTTCCATGGTGTAGTTGCTGTCCGTATAGATCTTGATCGTGTGATAGAAACAATGTCTTCCACAGCTGCATAAACAAACTAAGATTCTCTTAATTGGGAATGATATACACTCCTTCCCCTCCCTGTGTCCCCTCACTGCGTCCTCTCTCTCCTCCCTGTGTCCCCTCACTGCGTCCTCTCTCCTCCCTGTGTCCCCTCACTGCGTCCTCTCTCTCCTCCCTGTGTCCCCTCACTGCGTCCTCTCTTCCCTCCCTGTGTTCCCTCACTGCGTCCTCTCTCTCCTCCCTGTGTCCCCTCACTGCGTCCTCTCTTCCCTCCCTGTGTCCCCTCACTGCGTCCTCTCTCTCATCCCTGTGTCCCCTCACTGCGTCCTCTCTCTCCTCCTTGTGTTCCCTCACTGCGTCCTCTCTTCCCTCCCTGTGTTCCTTCACTGCGTCCTCTCTCCCCCCTGTGTGACCTCTCACTGCGTTCTCTCTCCCCTCTCTGTGACCTCTCACTGCGTCCTTTCACCCCTCCCTCTTTTCCCTCGCTGCGTCCTCTCATCCCTCCCTCTTTTCCCTCGCTGCATTCTCTCACCCCTCCCTCTGTCTCATTGCGTTCTTTAACCCCTATACTGTGTCCCCTCCCTGTATCCCCTTAACCCCTCAGTGTTCCCTTTACCTTCACTATCCCTTCAAGCCCTCTCACACCCACCCTGCTCCTTCCCCTTGTCTCATTTCTCCCCTCGTCTCATTTCCCAGCTCAGGTTGTTAAGAGGTGATGCGTCTGCTTCCTGCCTTTGGTAATGATTGTTCCCAAGAATGCTCCTCTGCAATCATTTCCTTTATGGCAAGATGAATATAATTGTGCCTTGCAAGGGACACCTTGCAGACCCAACATCTCTCTCTAACACTGAGCGAAATATAGTCAGAAGACTTGCTCTGCCAACTGACTCTTATGATCGTACTTGTGGTCCAAATGGCAGTCAGGATTAAGATAATTCACAAGTAACCCGCATTTAGGAGAGGAATTTAAGAACTTTTGGTTCGTCCTGGAACACTGTCAAGTCAGTACTGTGACTTGACAACGTTCCAAGACGGATCGAAACGTCGTCGTAAGTTTCCTCTGCTAAGTGTGGGTCATTTATGAATTGTTACAGCCAAGGTGTTGTGACTTTCATTCTTTGGCACAACGTTTCACTCTGTGTAGAGCTTTATCAAGACATGACGTAAAGCTCTACACAGAGCGAAACGTTGTCACAATATAAGCTTGTTTTCATCTTACGTCTCTCCATCACATCCCTTGGCTGTGTGTTTATACTGTGACCCCAGACTCAAACATTTGTTTGATTGTAAATTTGTTCCTCCATTATAATAGTTTCTCAGAGTCTTCCCGTGAAAATCGAAACCGGGAAGCATTACGAAGCCAGATATCCGAAGCACAAAGAAACAAACAAAAAATAAACAATTCCTCGAAATTGTAAAAAGAAAAAAGAAAGAAAACGGGAAAAGTGCCATCAGACACCAAGTGCTTCCATCTGGCGGCCAGTTTTTTCACCAAATGGAGATGATATATTTACTGGCACTGGAGAGATGATGAGGTCAGCTTGGCCTTGCCTCTACTGATGTCACAGCAGCCGGATTTTACCCATGTGATACACAACATGACCCCTCGCTCTCTCTTCTCACCAACATATTATACTTTCATGATGATATATATTGTCAATTTACACGGTTGTCTGGCTTAGAAGGCAGTGTCTCCATTGTGTGTGTGTATTGCAGGTTTGTATGTGTTTGTTGTATGCTTACATGTGTGTGTGTTTTCAGTATGCTCTATCGAGTGATGTGGTATCTTGTACTTCGTAATTATGTCTCCCCTGGATCTCCTTCCTTGCCGAGTTGCAAGACACGAGTACTGTGTACTAAGAGTAAGTTCATCTACACCTGTGCGTTGCTTAGCGAAGATCCTCCAGGTCACCAGATGTAGTAAGGATTTATGAGCTATAACCTTGTAATTATATCGTAAAGACAATTGCCCATGACGTTAATCGAGAAGAATCTTCTTGTTATTGAAGTCGTATCAGGAGCGTAGGAGTGCGCTCAGCGTTTATGACCTTCCCTTCCTCCCCACACACTCGTTCGTAATCCATCTGATAAAGGAAGTACGTATACTTAAGCATTCGTCCACCTCAATGCTAGACAAAGGCTTACATCATTTGTTTGGTTGCATCTGTCGGAGGATGCTTGCACAAATATTGTCCAGGAGTCCATTATAATCCAAGGAAATTTTGTTTATGGTAGAATAATTCGTGTATAGACTATTCCATCCCTTTCAGTGTAAGATCGAATTGCAGATGTTTTTCATTTGTCGCCTCTGCAACTCAGACTATAGCTTTCACACACGAAGTTGTATTTTCAGTGTAAATTCTTACTATAAAATGTAGCTCGAGAGAGAGAGACAGAGACAAAATAAGTAATAAATTTCTCAGGCGACAGAAAACAACACGAGACGGAATGAACTGGAACGGACAAACAAGTGAATCAGTTATGCAAATACGCGATAAAGACTGACGACTCTCAGTTGCCAGTTTCTCAGATAATTTCTAGTTCACCACGACCGCCTTGCACGAGTCCCGTGGCTCAAGTGGTGAAAATATTGACTCGGCTTTATAAATGGCGAGGTATCAATACGTACATACCAATAAAGTACAAGACAAATTAATAAAGAGATAAAATGAGA